ACAAGCGTGCGTCTGCTCATGATCTCGACGCGTTCAAACAGCTAAAAATAATCGGCAGTAAATTGCAAGAAAATAGCAAATAATTCCACTATATAGCTTCTACCGATACCCAAAGAACGTTATTTGTAGTTAACCTAAATTATAGGTTATAAATAATCATATCAACTACTATTCATAGCACGTATGGTTAATTGAGTTCTTATTATTAATATACAACTTTTAGAATATAATAGTTACTTACTTATATATAAATATACTCTAAATAAAGAGCACTCCGCACTGCTCGATCCACACGCGTGTATACGCACTCACGCATTAATACGTAAATGTACGCATCATGGCTGTCGCGATGAGCGTTGCGTACAATATAAAACAATAACATTCTAACAACAGAAAATTAATATACTACCAACGTTATTTCCAAGTCCAAATTACAAGGAACTTTGAACTGTTGCATTGATCTCAAATAAATGTCAGAGTAACATTTGAAAAATATTTTCTGTAACGTTTTTAAAATATTTTAACAACATTCAGAAAAATCATATTACGAAATAATATTTTTCAAATATGTGTATAATATTATTAAAAAACGTTTAAAAAATACACATAAAATCAATATTTCTAAACGTTAATTTAATGTTCCTTGCTTACTGGGTATTATGCGCCGCCTAGCGGCGTCGTTGCATATTTCTCTGCTTCGTAATATTTCAGTGAAAAGGGTTATAAATGATTTCGATGAAACGTTTCAGAAATACTTCTGAATAATTTCAATGTTACGTTTCAATATTATTGTCCGAGTTATCTTTCGGAAAGCTTTCAATGATATGTATTTTAGACATTACGTACAAAATATTTTTCTAAAATGTTTTGTAATATTTCAGAAATATTTCAGTGAAAAGGGTCATAAATGATTTCGATGAAACGTTTCAGAAATACTTCTGAATGATTTTAATGTTACATTTTAATATTAATTGCCAAGTTATCTTTTGGAAAGCTTTCAGTGATATATGATTTTCATAAAACGTTTCAGAAATATTTCTGAATGATTTCAATTATACATTTCAATATTAATTTCCAAGTTATCTTTCGGAAAGCTTTCTGAAACAAGTTTTGCTGTGTGGGAAACGACTAATGTATGTGGAAATAGTACATGTATGAACGAAGGAAAATTATTTAAAATAGTGAATCATTAATATATTGAACAGTCTTTTTGTTAAAGTAGAGAATAGTTAGCATAGAAAAGGGTAAAAATAAAGATAAGGGGAGATACCTCCAATAATCTTGACATATGTTGTCAAGAACATGATCCTGAGCAACTTTTTCTTATAACTTAATCATCATTGCTTATTTAAAATTATGAACAAAAAAAGTTTAAGAAATATACAAGTTTGTGTCAGTACTGAAGGAAGTAATTTGCTGATATATGTGTAGACAGTACACATGTAGGCGGGGGAACGGGCTACCGCTCCTCTCCCGCAAGTAGGGGTAAGTGAAAAGTTGAAAACTTTAACCATACAATGACCTCGTTTCGCCTTATAAGCAGGGGGGAGGGTGAATTTTGTTTTGCGTGGAAAGTACAATGCTGTCCAGAAAACTATCTATGCAAAGCAAGGTCCACTCCACTCCACAGTGGGCCAGGGACCCAAAAACAGTGGCCAAAATTAATAAAGTAAACTAATCTCTTTTAAACATGTATCCTATAGGTTTTTGGGGTCGCTGATTCCGAATCCTGATGTCAAAAACTGTAAATTCAAAATAACGAACCCAATGTGGCGACTAAAACTACTTTTTTTGATCGAATATGCATGGCAGTCGGTACTAAAAGGTTTTTGGAGTTGCTGATTCCGAATTTGATGCCAAAAAGTGTAAATTCAAAATGGCGGATCCAATATGGCGACTAAAACTACTGTTTTTGATCGAATATGCATGACAGTCGATACTAAAGGGTTTTTGGGGTTCAAGATGATTCCGAATCTGATGTCAAAAAGTGTAAATTCAAAATGGCGGATCCAATATGGCGACTAAAAATACTTTTTTGATTGAATATGCGTGACACAGTCGGTACTAAAGGATTTTTGGGGTCGCTGATAACGAATCTGACACTCAAAATTTAAAATTTAACCCTCCGAGAACACAAGGGGTCAATTTGACCCTTACCTCGAGTTTTATCGTAAATATCTTGAAAGCATTTTGAAAATTGGCGGGCCTGAGGCCCTTTAGCTGTAGTTTGGGGTACTAACTATACGTTAAGATGCTCCCTTTGTACAGCGTAACACGCAGTAGGCGTTGGGCATTATTCAAAGTCGGTGTAGGGTCATTTTGACCCTGTTGTGTACTAAGCGTCGGTTTGCAATAGTGAGCACGATGGCGTATAGTTTGCGGCCACGTGTTCAGAATGTTGTAGTCCCAGTAAGCAAAAAACCATTATTACAATGTTATTGCAACGATATTCTAGAACTTGTAATGTTGTTAAATATGTAGTTCTTAATGTTGTATAGAACATCATTATGAACATACTTTGACCACGATTCCGAAATTTCAGTAATGTTGAAATGGGAGTGCCATAACGTTGCAAATAACATTGCGCTAAGGTTTTTCTATCATTCCTGTAATGTTTTTGAGATAAAAATTTAAACGTACTATCAATTTTATTACAATATTATATTAAGATTACCGTAATGTTAATTCTAACATTTATTTAAAATTCTAATTGATGTTTTATTTCTATTACAGGCAACATGTTTTCAATAAATATGCAATAGTAATAAAATATCTCAATATTTATTGTCTAATTATTATTTAGATTGCTTTTTTATAGACCAGGCTTAAACAACTTTGAGCTCCAGAACCACGACACTTCTTTTCTATCCACGGAAAGTAGGGGAGTGTCGTGGCTCCGGAGCTCGAAGTTGCCCAGGCCTGTTATATACCAATCTGCATTAGGGAATAATTCACTAATTATCATAAAAAAGTTTTATTTATATAAAAATAATATATACCATATATTACAGTTTTCAGTTTATCACAATAATATCTTTGGTGAAGATCACTGATCCTAGCGTAAGGTTTTGGGATAAAACTCATCTTTCAAATAAAAAAATTTGTTACTATAATAATCACTCGCGCGGAGCCACGCAAGTAAGATAATATATTTATCACTTCCTGAAAAATAAAAGTAGAATTAAATTAGTGAAAATGCTACTTATAAATTATAACGCGGCAAACTATAATAATTTTATTTTATAGAGAGTATATACCGAAATACATTACATTACCTTTTTAATGTTTTTTTTTCCTTACGGACGTTTGCGAATCTGAACCACTCCATTACAAAGTGTTGAAAATCTTTTTCTGTATTCCGAGGGAATATTGCTCTAAAAGCTTCTGAAATAAGAAAAATTCAATACAGTTTATTGTTAGATGAAAGAAATAAATAATATTAATTTAACGGCAATTAAAACTTATGATAATTATTGAAATAACACAAAAGTTTCCGGAATAGTTTACATATATACTAAATCGATCAAAAATATTAGTTTATGGATATATATATTTTTCTTTTATTTCGTAAGAATTTTTAACGTGTATGTGTGTCCTGCTTTTTAACGATGATTGCTACAAAAAATAAGAAGACAATTTTAATAAATTCTGAGACATAAAACATAGCATTTAATACTGCAAGTAATATATACATTTCTTAAAAAATTACTTACTTTTAATGCTCAGAATTGTGTGTGTGCGTATCTCCAATTTTATAATTATTTTTTTGGCCAGTTCATGAACACATGGAGGCTAAGTCATCAGAAAATGTAGCCCTCAAACTTCTTCTAATAAAATTCTTTTCATGTTTTCCTCCAATTAACATAACCTTGTTCACCTGAAAAATTTATACTTGTAATTCTATATAATGCAGTTTATTATTATAAATTGCAAGGAAAATAATTCAGAAGACTTTTAAAATATAATAACACATATTATAGGATATTATAGAACATATTAAAGGACATATATTATAGATATAAGTTTGTAAGATTAAGAGTCAGAGTAACCATTTTTGGTTTTGAACGCATTGAGTGCTCCTCTTCAAGATTCTATTTGATCGTTTTATACATAAAATATACAGTTGAATACATTATGGAGATTAATACAAATACATTTTGATTTTTGAAGGACATACCATATTTGAAAACTTTACCGACAAAATTCTACCTTCTTTTAGAAAGTTTACATATATCGTATTGGTTGCATAGAATTACAAATGCTTTTACATAATAAAAATAGGTGTAAATCAATTAGAGCATTTGCTCAATATATTACAAAAATGATTTAAAAATTTCAAAGTAAAGATCTCGAGCTGTCAGTGTAAATATTTATTTGTTACAAAAATTGTTTATATATTATCAGTATGTTTGCTCCGTTAAAGAAAATTGTAAAAAAAATATTACTGTACCATTTCCATTAAATTTAAAAGCTTAAAAATATATGAAAAGTTTGCAAGAAGATTTTTATATATAAATACTTAAGCTTTCTGCTAAATATGGTAAAACAAAGCAACACACATTTATATATAGAAGATCCATATATGCATAAAAGACTTGAACAATGTAGTATGAATGCGTTAGTACTTATTTGATATGACGTTTGGATGATTTTGTCTGTATGTTACGCCACAATCAAAATAACTATAAACATAGTAGATACAGATAATGCGCAATTACTATCTTTGCCGAGATCTTTGCTATAGATACTACATTGAAAATAATACCAAAAAATCGGTAAAAATTACAAGTCCTGGTGATCTCTTTGTCGACTTTGATGGCGCAGAATAATCGAGTTTATTTTTTCCAACTGATTTATTACGATGAAAGATAATACAATAGGTCGCTGTTTTGCACGTTCAACGAAAAATAACGAAAAGTCTTGCAAGAAGAAGGCGGAAGCAACGTCCGGAAACATAAAAATATATAGAAGTGAAAGTCTCATGCTAGTGATTTATATTTCCACCAATCGTAAAAGGTTAATCTGTATAGCGTGCGCGTATCATGTAAGACATAGAATAAGTTTATAACTCTGAGTTTAGAACATAAACAGACTCTAAATTGCAAATATTATATTTACTACTCTTGGAGAGAAAGGGAGAAAAAGGGAGAGAGAGAGGGAGGGAGAGGAGATATCTCTTACAGTCTTTTCTCTTAATTCTTAAATTTTCAAAGTCTGCAGATTTTATTGTGTAAATTTATATCTACTACGATTATGTAACTATTATACTAACCGGGAATGTTATTTGTAAATGTTTATAGAATTAATTATAATTGTGATAAGCAGCTTTACTTACAACTTGCATGAAAGCTTCTTGATCAGTTTTTAGCATATCTTCAAATTGTCAATGGAAGATAAAGGGATGAGATATTGTCCAATCTTTGTATCTTGTACAATACTTTCCTTAGAATATTGCTCAGCCTCGCGGCCCGAGTACATCAAAAATATATGTTCGATCCTTATTAATACTTTGGTATATTTTTTTTCTTCTGCAAATTTCTCTCTTATATAGGTCGAAAAATAGATCTTGAATCACCAGCTACCTATTTACAGCACATTAGATAATTGCAGGGTTCTTATCATTAATATGCAAGATTTAGAATATAATAATTACTTACCCATATAAAAATGTTGTATACAATTAAAAGCGCTCGACAGCGCACAAGCGCACAAGCACAAACGTACGTATATATGACACACTCACATCATACGTATATGTAAGATAATGCGACTACAGTCTCCAGAACTATTACTGTTTCCGATTGGCTGTCGCAACAAGCGTGCGTTTGCTCATGATCTCGACGCACTCAAACAGCTGAAAATAATCGGCAGTAAATTGCAAGAAAATAGCAAATAATTCCACTATATAGTTTCTACCGATACCCAAAGAACGTTATTTGTAGTTAACCTAAATTATAGGTTATATAGATCATCATATCAGCTACTATTCATAGCACATATGGTTAATTGAGTTCTTATTATTAATATACAACTTTTAGAATATAATAGTTACTTATATATAAATATACTGTAAATAAAGAGCACTCCGCACTGCTCGATCCACACGTGTGTATACGCACTCACGCATTGTACGTAAATGTACGCATCATGGCTGTCGCGATGAGCGTTGGGCACAATATAAAACAATAACATTCTAACAACAGAAAATTAATATACTACCAACGTTATTTCCAAGTCCAAATTACAAGGAATTTTGAACTGTTGCATTAATCTCAAATAAATGTCAGAGTAACATTTGAAAAATATTTTCTGTAACGTTTTTAAAATATTTTAACAACATTCAGAAAAATCATATTACGAAATAATATTTTTTAAATATGTGTATAATATTATTAAAAAACGTTTAAAAAATACACATAAAGTCAATATTTTTAAACGTTAATTTAATGTTCCTTGCTTACTGGGGTATGTGCCGAGCCAGAACATTTCGATGGCAACAGTTCTTCTGAGGAGAAGGATAATGTGTCAGTACAGTCAAACACTGACTCGTCGTGTTCAGATTATAGTGAACCCGAGGATGCGGTAGATACGACTCTCAACCAACGCATTTTAGAGCAGCGGGCTCGAGCTCGAGGGCGACCAACAACAGTACTACGCAGCAAAAATAATACGAAATGGAACAATTTTTTCACAAAATTTTTCGATTTTTTTACCTTAAAAATCATCTTCGTCATCTAGCAAAATAAATACCTTTTTTTAAAGGTACACTAAAATACAATTTTTTTTCTTGATTTTACTACATTTCAAGAATATACATGTAAATTTTTAGCCAGAAATATTAAAACTTAAAAAAATATAATTTTTTTCGTAAATTACGTTTTTTTTTCCCAAAAAAATAATTTTTTGTTGAATTTTTTTAAATATGTAAATAATTCCAAAGGCACTTTTTACTTATATCAATTAATTTAACAATGTTCCAAGTACATCTGGAAATTTTTTCAAGCTGATCGCACTCGTCAATTTAAAATGATAGACGATCAAAGTGTGTGTAGGGTCAGAAGAACCCAGAGTATTCTCCGTGAATGAAAAAATAGGTGTGTTCTCGGAGGGTTAAGGTAGCAGATGTAATACAATGACTATAAAATTTACAAAATAAGGTTTTCTAATTGAAACGCCTGCAGTTTGCCTACAAACTCTGTAGTTTCCAGGGCAAAAAGAACTTTAGGATATTTAACGTGTCGTCAACCATTAGACCACTAGGGTTCATTTTTTTTAAGTTTATATGGCACTTAACTCAAAAAATGTCTCATTTTTTTAATTCTTTACAAATCTTAAGCCTTGCAGATTGTGAATTCTTTCCAATTCCCAATTGTGCAGTCTATTAATCCATAAAAATCTTAATCGGGAAAAATTTTTTAACGAAAGTATATATGGGACGAAAGTCGGGTCGGATTCGAACCACGGACCTTGGTGTCAGTTGGTGTTACTAATCACTCGCGTAGGCACTGAGCCACCGTCATCCTTGGTTTCCAGGTCCTACCACGAGGAGGTTACATTATTATCGATAATCGGGGTGCTTTATTTGAGCGAGTCCCTTTGCCTCTCACTATTCAAGGTGCTTTATTTGAGTCAGTCCCCTTGCCTCTCACTACTCAGGGTGCTTTATTTGAATGAGTCTCCTTGCCTCTTACTATGGAGTGTTTTATTTGAAAGAGTCCCCTCGCCTCTCACGAATCCGAATGCTTTTAAGCACATAATACATCATTTAAAGAGAGTCTTCTTTGGTATTAGATTCTTCATGTTTGCCTGAAAATTCTGTGCTTTCCTCTTCATCATCTGATAATATCATATCATCTAAAACTTAAAAAGTTAGGAAAATCCCTGACATGCTATCATTTGTTTCATTATTACTACTGCTTGTCGGCGTTGCTTCGATATAAAAAACGTATAGCAAATCTCTTACGTCCTGCAAAAGTAATAGTTCTTTGCTCTTGTTAATTTGCGATTTAAATTTTACAGTTGCTATTATCGGATCCAATGTATCCATTGTTCTATAAAACATGTCGTATAAACTTACTTCACGAGAATATTGTCTGCTATAAAACCGTCTATAATTTTTGTAGTGCTTATTACGTGCTTCAGACCCTTTCTCGCCCAGTATTCCAACAGGTAATGTGCTTGTCCTTATAATCTCAGCACCATGCATGAAAATTTTATGCAGAGTCGAAGGCATGGATAAGCAAAAGTAGTGACTGACATAAATTTGAGCAGTTATCGTACAGAATTCGTCAAATCAAACTGGATTTACTGAAAAGTGACATGATAAAGTGACTAAGATTGTCTTCAAGTTACAAAGTAATTGACAGTTGAAATTAAGATATTGGGCAAAGAGATTTGGATTTTTGAAAGCTCGCTGTGCCGTATTCCCGTTATTAGTAGTGCCATAGCCTCCGGTTTTTGGTTTATCCACAATTAAACCCATTTTTTCACAAAGGATTTGTTGAATTAACTTTTTTCGTTCGGTGAAAATGACTCTGTGTTCGTTACTTCTCACTTGCCAGACATTTATATCTAGTCTATACGAAATATGTAGAACACATTCGAGATTCTTATCCACGCATGAAAAGGACTGATACCATACTGCAGCAAATTGGGACCAGGCAAAAAGATATTTGTTTGCTTATGTATGTTTAAAATATTATGAAATTGCTTAGGAGTCGCATGGCAAATTGGGCAAGTCTGCATCGATTTAGTGTTCGTGATAATATTCAACACTTTTTCATCTATTAATGTTAAAAATAGCGAAAAATGTATACGAATACAGTAAACATTGCCGAGTTTAATTTCTACGACTTTTAGATTTTTTATTTGCTCCTCAATGTCACTTTTCTGTTTTAAAACAACGTCCCGCGATTCCCGGACAAAGTATAATGAAATAGGTCTGCAAAAACTTGTAGATTGAGAGATACAGTTGTTCCACAAAATTGCGTTAGTTGTTGACAATCGCAGCAAAATCATAGAAGTAACAAATAGGTTTTTGCCCTCATTTGGATTTTTATTTGTAGATGCATATGAATGCTTATAAGCAAAATAACCAGAGCTACCATCAAATTCCCATAAACATATTAAAACGGCTTCCGTAACAGAAACACTATTATTTTGCATATCTTGAACTATTACATCGTACATTTCAACTAGTCTTCGTGCTGTATGTTCTAATAGAGATTGGAGGGATCTATCTGCTTTCGTCTCACTTATAACAATGTTTCCTTTTAATGGTCTACATTGTAATTTAGCTTTTCTTGCGACATTATACGTTGGCCAAATGTCTGCTCCAGATAACTTGCACTCTAACCGCATATCCGTATATAATCTTTTGGACATAGAATTCTTCAACATGAATTGCAAAGCTTCTGTTGGGGTTTTCGGTTTAAGTACAATTTGAAGTATGTCTATTAGATCAAATAGGATACTTTATTACCCCAAAGAGGTCTAAAAGGGCGTTTCGTAAGGACGTACCCAACCCTGTACAACTTACAATCTTACATCATCTACCAACAATCATACGCATTGGCGTTTTGAAGGGACGTACACAATCCTGCACATAACACTCGTGCTTCCTATCCTGACCTGGCCATAATACATGCGTTTTATGGAGACGTACCCAACCCTTTACAATTTTTGCTTAGTCCAATTTCTCGTCTGTACACACATACACGTTTCGCACGCCCTGTCCTTATCCTTCTTTTCGTTTATTCGCTTACTTGCTCTCTCGCTTGCTCGCTTATTCGCTTATATACGCTTATTCGCTCTTAAATCTATCTTATCTCTAAACCCAATCCGTTTTTCCCCCGTCGGACTTCCGTTTCCTTTCCCAACCTTCCTTTTTATTCATAACATTCTCTCATCCACCTTCTCCATTCTCCTTCCTTCATCCTGTCTTATTTCCTCTATCGCTTTCATCCACTCCTCTCCCTCTCATTTTCTCCTAGTAACCTCTCCACCACTTCCTGCCACCCCTCTCCATCCCACTTCTCCCATTTCGTACACTCTTCCCATATGTGTTCCCATGTTTCCTCTTCCCCCCACACATCCTACACCTTCTATTCTCCTGCTTTTTCCAATATAGTTCTTCCCTAACCTCATTACCGAGTCTAAACCTTGCAATCCTACTCCACCTTGTTTCCTCCCAGTCCTTCTTTGAGTATTCCGGAATCCCGTCCTTCCTTATAACCTTATACCACCGGTTGTATTTCGGGCCCACGATCTTTTCTATTCTTTCTTGCTTTTGTTTCAATTTCTCTTTGTTTTCCAAAATTTCACCTTTCAATTCTTTCCCTTCTTCAATTCTCACCCCCAACCCTTCTAGGTAAACTCTTTCTTTCTTGCTCCCACCTTCCTATTATCTTCCCCTTCTTCCATCTCTCCTTTATTTCTTCCAGTCATTTCCTCGCTGTTCCCTCTCCATTGCTCTCTTCTAGCTTTTTTTCAAATTTCCATGCTCTCTTACTTGCTCTGCCTTTTATCTTCTCTCTATCCACTTCATCTCTCACCATATATCCTGGTGTCCTCCAGTTTAGACCAAATACCCATCTGAGATCCTCTTGTATACCTTCTACCTCTTTTTTTTCTTTCCATCCCTATATTTCTGCCCCGTATCCCATCACCGTCCATATTAAAGTGTCGTATAACCAGATCCTTCTTTTCCAATCCTTTTTTCACATTCTTTTCCCTATCCCCCAAACTTCCCTCATTACTCTCGCCGCCTTCCTTCTTCTCTCTCTAATGTGCGCCTTTTGTCCCCCATTTTCCTTCAATGTGTATTCAAGGTATTTGAATTCCTTAACTTCCTCTAATTTCTTTCCTTTCCATCTCCAATCATACTTTTCCTTCCTTCCTCCGCCTTTTCTGAATCTCATTATTTTTGTTTTCTCTATACTCAATGTTAATCCCTTCCTGTCGAGGTATCCCTCTAGCCTGCTTATCATCGATCTCATGTCTTGTTCCTCCTCCACCATCAGCGCTACATCATCCGCATACATTAATGTGTATATTTTTTCCCCTCTCAGTTTCACACCTCCCCATCCGCTCTTCTTCATATAGTCTTCCATACCCGCTATTAATATATTGAAAAGTATTGGACTCAACGGGCACTCTTGTCTTACACCCTTCGCCATCCAGAATGTTCCTCCACTCTCTCTTTCCATTCTTACCCTGCTCTTCGTTTCTCTCAGTATTTCTTCAACCCTATCTATTAGTTCCTGCCTTACTTCTCTCTCTTTCATCGCCTTAATTAATACTTCTTTGTCCACTGAGTCAAACGCCGCTTTCAAATCTATGTATAATACTGTCATCTTTCCTTCCTCCTTTTCTAGTTGTCTATTTACCAAGTAGTTCAATGCGAATATTTGGTCCATCGTCCCCATTCCTTTTCTAAATCTTGCTTGATTATCGGGAATCAAATTCTTCGTTTCTACCTCCTTCCTTATCCTTTCAGCTAGTATAGATCTTGTACATCGAGGACATAATTGTTATTCCTCTGTAATCCTTCACCTCTCGCCCTTCTCCTTTCTTTATTATTAGAATTATTTCACCTTCCTTCCATTGTTCCGGTCAACCTTCCCTCCTCTAGACCCGTTTACATATTTCCTATATCCATTTCACCATTTCTTTTCCTTCAAATTGCCACGTCTCGTTCGATATCCTACCATTGCCTATTGCTTTTCAATTTCTTTATTACGTTTCTTAACTCCTCCAGTTCTATCTTTTCCTCTTCTTGCCTGTCCTTTCCCCTTTCTCCTTTCGCTACCTTATTCTCCACCCCACCCATTAATTCCATAAAGTACTCCTTCCACTCTTTCAGCTTTATCTCTTCGTTTATCCTTTTCCTTCTTTTTCTTACTCTGCCTATCAACTTCCATACCCTTCCTTCTGTTCTCGCTTCCCCTATTTCTTTTATCATCGTTTCCTTTTCCTCTTTCTTCTTTCTTTCGCACATTTCTCTGTACACCCTCCTCCCTTCTCTGTACCTTTCCGCCTCTCCTTTTCTCCGCCTACCTTTCCTCCATTTTCTTAGTTCTCTCCTCACTTCTCTTTTTCTTTCCCTGCATTCTTCATCCCACCACCCTCTTCTGTTCTTATTAGCCATTCTCCCACCCTTATTTTCATTCTCCTCTATTACTTTTCTTATCCTCGACATTCCTACTTCTATCTCTTCTTGTAGTTTCCCTTTTCCTCTTTCTATCATCCCTAACCTCTCCTTAAATTGTGTTCTTTCCTCCTCGCTCCATACTCTTCTTATTCTTATTCTTTCTCCCTCTCTCCTTCCCTGCTTTCTCTCAAGTTTACCCCTCATCCATACTATTAATGGATGATGATCTGAGTCTACTGAGTTCTCCTACTTCCAGTCTTTCCACCTTTTCTCTAACCTCCTTCTCCCCTATAACGTAATCTATAACTGTCTCGCCTTTCCCTTCTGTGTATGTAAATTCACCTTCCTTATCCCCTTTTACGCCTCCATTTAATATCATCCATCCTCTTTCCTCTATGAATTTCAGTAACCTTTTTTCGTCCCTATTTATTTTTTTGTCTTTTGATTTTCTCCCTCCTCTTTCCATTTTTCCCTCTTCCTCTTCTTCCCATCTGTTTAGTACAGACTCGCACAGAAGCCTAGGCTCTAGAAATTGTATAGGAAACGACACATTTACTCATTTACTCACGTGGTTTAAGTTCAAGAGATTATGTATTTTCACGGTAAATATTATTTCAAACTAGAATTGTCTCACAATAGATATATACGTGGTATAATAAGACTTTGTACAAAAAAGTCAGCTGTATAAAATGCAAAGAAGAAAAAATGGTTGATTAGTAATGAGTAATCCTTTCGTGTTGAAACTTCAATTACTGTAATTTTTTATTGAATGATAGTACGTATCCGATGCAAGCAGATATCAATTACGCTTGTGTCTCTAAATGTTGTAGCAGTCAAATGCAATCCAAAGTTAAACTATCTCTGAGAAAGGATCATACATGTTAAACACATTTTACATAACTCAAAATACATATAGATATGAATAATATACAATGCATAATAAAAAATGGAGGAATGTGTCAATTAGCCAATAATCAAGAAATAATCTTTCTGAATAAAGTAATTAAAGAACATAAATTATTTAAAGAGATAAAGGATTACGCTAAAATAGCCTGTTGTGTGAATTTCTACAAATCGAATGTAACACACTTTTCAATATTAATTGACACAGTAACTTCAACAATAAAAAATCGAATAAGTAATATAGCGAATTATAATCAAACTCAGTAAAGAATAGAGAATTCACATAAGCAATTAATGAATCATACGCAGATGATACGTTTTATCGTAAAAGAAAAGTAATGTTCAATATCAACGGGATTGAACCACAATATACGTTTATCGTAATAACGCAAGTTATATTCACAGCAACGAGAATAATTCGCGATCGACGCCCGTGTAACACAATGTTAACGTGAATGTTCGAATCACGATTCTTTTTCGATAATGTATCTCGATAATGGAAGCTTAAGTTATATTACAACAAGAATAAATGATTCTACACACGGATTACAACCACAAGAAATTAACGAGAAGTAATTATACTCAGCTTAGTTATCTTCAAAGATAATGCGTGTCAGCGATACTGACTTCTTTCTTTCTCTCTTACTCGTGATCTCTGAAACCAAGAACGTTATTGTAAGTAAAAAAACGATATTTGCTCTTTCTGCCGCTAGACGATATCTAGTCTAATCTCGTGGTGTTCTTTGATTTGATCAGATATCTCGATTTACCTGTTCTGCAGATATGCTTCCAATAGAAGCTCTCGTCTAGATAAAGATAACGAACTTGATCGTTCCTCTTGTAGATCGCAATGATGTCCTCTATCTGAGTAGTAATAGCTGCTCTCTCCTTTTGCGTGATAACTCGAAGCTGTAATGGCGGCAACTTCCCTTGTCCTTGCAACGACGTCGCGATGGCGACGCTCGTCCTTCCTTTCACGTAGCTCAAAACGTGGGGATTCTGTTGTCGTTCCTCTTAACAATACCGCAACAGCCTCGCTCGACAATATTAACCACTATCAGATCTCAAGCGAAGACTCGAGTATCGCAATAATTAAAACAGCGTATCTCAACTCAGTAACAAAACTTCTAGAACGAACGCAAGACGTAATCAAATACAACTATCCGAGACGACGGACGAACAACGAATGCCCGCTCGGCGAGCTGCACGCACGTGCCGGCACGCTCACACATGCGCGGTATCACTCCGCCGCGGCGCGATCCGTCTCTGGGGCGCAACGCGGTCGCCGCAGAGCGCGGAAGAATACATAATATAGCATATGACGCTGGTAACGGTACCGCCGCCGCTATCTTGGCAGCTCCACCGACCACCACCACCAATATGTCAACCACGACCATTGATGTCGATCAATACATAATCTCTTGCTTCTCTCATTATATTTTAAACACCATCCTTCTTCTTCACCTGTTGTAGCATTAAAGTCTTCACTTATTATAGTTCTTACTCCCTTTTCCCCCTCTTCCGTCCAATCCTTCAAGCCTTCTAGTTTCCTGTTTATATCATTATTTACATATAATTTTATTATTCTCCATATTTTTTCTCCTATTCTTATCTTACAATCGATTTTCCTTCTTCTTCCTCCAACCTTCTTTCTTCATTTACCTATTCTATTCTTTTCCGTATGCCTAATAACATGCCTCTATTCGCCCTTCCTTTTTTGTTCTTCCTGGTTGCTATATGCACTCTTCATCTGTATTCGCTTGGAATCTTCTCTTTCATCTCTCCCATCCCCTCTCATCCAGCCATGTCTCCATTATTATCACTACGTCCCATTCCATTATCTCTCCCCCGAACTCTTTACCTTTGTTTGTTATGCCCGCCACGTTCCAGAAAACCACCTTCCAAATCTCCTCCTCTTTCCTGTCATTCTTTTTCTTTCTCTCCATATCCCTTATCCTTATCTCTGTTCTTTCTTCCTGCCTTTTCCTCTTCATCCTCTTTTTTACCTTCATTGTTCCCTTCGTCTTCCTCTTCTGGATTACCTCCATTCTCTGCATCTCTTATTCTTTCCCCTCTTCTTCCACACTCTCCTTTTGTTGTTTCGCAATATCTTTTCATCCTTCTTTTTATTCATTTCCACCATTTTTCTTCTATTTGTATTTTTCCATATCCTACCTTTACTTTTTCACCATTTCCTCTCTCCTGTCTTGCAATGTCTTATAAATTCCATCTCATTTTTCTCTCCTTTCATGTCAAATCATCATCTATTCTTATCCCTTTTTCTCTTAGTCTTCTTCTCTCTATCATGACCCTTCTTTCTGTTCCAATCCCTATTACTGTCATTCTTACACCTCCCTCTCCGTCATCTTCAATGACTTTCCCTATTACTGTCATTCTTACACCTCCCTCTCCGCCATCTTCAATGACTTTCTTACAACTCACTTCCGCTTCTATTCCTACCCCCTTTAGAATTTCTTTAACATCTTTTTCTACTTCGTTCCTATTTCTTTTTGTTCCTTTTATAACTATGTTTTTTCTTCTTTTTTCTCTCCCTCTCATCTCTAATTTCTTATCTATCTCCTTTAGCATTTTCTCCAGTCCCATCTCTCTTACGTCTTCTTCTTTTCCTATTCCCCCCTTTTTCATTTTTATTATCATTTTATCCATTTCCATTATTCTCTCTTCCATTTCCTCTTTCTCTTTTCTCCATTTTTCTTCTCTCTCTTCCATGATTCTTTTTAAAACTTCCATCTCTTGTCTAAATTCCTTCCCCTGTTCCTTCATTATCTCTTTCATCTCCTTTATTTCTTCTCTCATCTCAACCTTTACTTCATTCTTTATCACTTCTATCCATTTTTTTTTGTCTTCTGTAATTTCCTTGCCTTTTTTTTGCGGCGATCTTTGCAGTTTCTTGCTCCTGCTGAAAGCCCATTCTTCAGTTTCCCCTTTTTCTATCGCCCCTCTCTTTTTCTTTATTAAATTTACGTTGCTTGTACTTCCCCTTTTCTCCCCTCTCCCTCCCCCTGTTCCACTCCCTCTAATTAGGTTTTTAAACGTAATTTTTTTTTATATATTTAAAAAGTTTACATGCATATGTTTTATACAAAAAAAAGTTTTTTTTTTGTAATATTAACGGAGATATAGGTTTTATAAAATATTACTTCAAACTCATAGCCGATGACGCGCCAATCACGCCCGAAGTTACCCGAGCGGTTTGTGACGTCACAATGTTATATGCCGTATACGATATCTATTGAGATTTCGATCTTTAATAGAAATGGCAATAATTAAAACGTATAGGACGTGTTCCGTCCCTCTCTCTGGTAGTACAATCAAAAGTACACCAAATAAAGTGTTCGCGACAGTGCCACAAAACGTGAAACTTCGTCAAAAGTGGTTTAATGCCGTTCGGAGAGACAACCTCAAAAACAGCTGTGGCCTGGTATGCCACTTTCGCTGGAGCGTCGCGTGCCCTTCGCAGAGGATATGCCGTAGCGTGAGAGGGACTGTCGAGTGAGATGTAGGTGTGTCAGTGTGCTAAAGAAGGCCTTGAGAAGGGCCGTGGAGGCGGCCCTGAAAAGGGCCGTTTGGGCTCTTCAGGTGCTGTGGTCTGGCCAGTGCTTCGTAGTCGATGGCCTGGTGTACAGCATCTACCCTCGATAAGGCGTCGGCTACGACATTGTCTTTTCCTGACACATGTCGTATGTCCGTGGTGAACTGGGCCGTATGTTCGAGGCGTCGTGTCTGCCGTGGTGAGCTGCTTGGTAGGTGATGGCGGCAGAGGCGACAGGAGTGGAGGCACCGTCCATGATAGTTGAGGAGAAGTGTAGCGCCGGACTCTTACGTCCCACGTTGAGTGTGCGTGGAGAACGAGTCGATCGTACCGGTGAGAGCTGGAGCGGGACGAGTTTCCCCGTGTGGCCAGGACGGTAGTCCAGGGGCCGTTGAGGGTGTCTCGGTGTCGGCAGGCGGAGTGGCGAAGCTCGTCTCGGTGGTGGCCGTAGCTTCGGCGGCGGCAAGATGGCGGCGAGATGTAGTATCTCTTATCCAAAAGACTTCTCCTGGTCTTGGCGGTGAGCCTGCGAGCAGTCGATAGCTGCTTAGGCCGTCGTCGTGTGGTCTTTTATTCTGCCCTGACTGGAAATGAAACGCGAAAAAGTCTGCCACCTGTTGGCGGCACTCTCGTCTAGCTTCGCGGGTCGTAGCCTGGTCCACGCGCTCGGTGCGTGATCGGTTGGCGCGCGCGCGGCGCGCGTACCGTTTCGATTGTGCGGTCGGGAGACCGCCACAACAGCAAATCGAACTTCTTTTGCTGTGAAGACCATGCTCCGAACCTTATGTTCAGAACATAAGGCCCTTGCACAATGCCAGGCAACAGGCAATAGGAACAAGAAATAGAAATCAGAAATCATGTATAAGTGCAGAATAAACAGTTACACAGGCAAAATAGACATAGAGTTTCCGTCATGTTGAAAATTCTGTGCTTGCCTGTTGGCAATCAATCATAGCATTCGAGTTTTTTAGGTTGTAATTAACGTATTTTTGGTTATTTCCTGTTCCTATTGCCTGTTGCCTGACATTGTGCAAAGGTGTATACTCGACATTTCACAATGCAGAGATCTTCGTCACGTCTTAGTTGGACGTACATAACCTACAGCTGCATTTCCGTAGCTCACACGACAGTTCCTTTAAATAATTTATTGTTATAAAAATCTCGTAGTAATGTTATTTGTTAATGATCAGTTACACATTAAAATGTTATTATTTTAACCGAATAAGTAACATTAACTTCGCCAGTCAATAATTAACACAATTGAGAATTTAATTGACTATACTGGCAATGATTATAATCGTGGCAACGATTATAATCATCATGACAAATCATCACCGAGTTTCGACAAAAGATTCTGGTCATTCTAAAGTTGATCTAATTTTAGATGCTTATAACATCTAAAATTACATCAACTTTAGAATGACCAGAATCCTTGGTCGATACTCGGTGACGATTTGTCACGACGATTATAATCGTTACCACGATAATCATTGCCAGTATAGTCAATTAAATTCTCAATTGTGGTAATTATTTTACTTATAATGAAGCTTTGGCACAACGTATTTCTGGAGCATTGAAACGATTGTCATCTCTGAGAAACTCTAGCATCGTAAATATGTCAATTTGCGGCAAATTATTACTATTTGGTTTCACGAAGCTTTTTTCACACATTACTCCGTCGAAATTCGGCTAAATGATCAAATTTATTAATAATTTTAAGTCGTTTCGGAGAGCTGTAATTCTATAAACACATCGTATCCAATTTTCGTGGCGTGACCATATAACATCGTGACGTCACGAGCCCGTACGCCAATCTCGTGGCGTTTCATGATCACGTGACAAAACTTGAATTTTTACGTCGATAAAATTATTAATAATAAATTCACAAGTTTACACAAAAAAATTTTTTTTTTATTTTTGTGTTTTGGTGTTATTAATACACGTTTACATTAAAAAAATTTATATATAATTTTTTTTTCAACAACCCAATTCTATTAATCTTGCCGTTTTTTCTTTTTCTTCCGTCATTTTCCCTCTGCGATACCTATTTCTCTAGCTATTCTATGTCTCAATGTGTTTATCGTTCTTTTCTCTTCTATATCAATACTAATCTATGCCCGCTCGCGCGCCACCGTATCGTCCCGTCTCTTTCCTATCGCCACTCTACACTAACTTTCGTCCGTGCCGTACCCGTCACCTCTCCCTTGCCACTTTCCTTCCCTTTATCCCTTTTTACCTATTCCTCCTCTTTTTCACTCTTTTAGCTCCTCACTCTCACACCTCCACTCTCTCCCGCTCAATCGCTCTCGCCTTCTCCAACCTCCTCTAAACTACCTTTCTATACAATTTTAACCTTGCTCACACACACACACCTGTCACTCTCGCTAGCACCGGAAACGGAAGTCCGAAGGGTGTCTATTAATTTCCTTATTTTTGCTGGACTTGCTGCAACTTCACGGAGAACTACATTAAGCTCTTGTTCGTTTGAGTAGTTTGCAGCATAACGACATGCATTCAGGATTCTCTAGGGATCATGTTTCAATTCAGCACTTATTCTAGAGGCATTTTGGCGTTTCGAACGATCAGACATATTGCCAAAATCAATTGTTGGGCGACCAGGACCTGCGGTTGAACTCAATTTCTCTAAGTTGGCATATTGTCATTGATGATTATTTTACTCTAATCAAATGTAAATTCCGAATCTAACCACTCTGCATTTTTCGTTTCAAATCTATTTTTCATTCTGTTTGCAGCCTAAAATTTCAAATTACGTCTCGTTCTAAGTGAAGATATAAGTGATTTCAATTCATTCTTACCTCGAGGATGAATATTGTCATCGGTAAA